CTATTTAATCTCGTATGAAAACCGAACATGCTGAAGATTTAAGCCTGAGTTAGCTGAAAGAAGAAAGACTTTGCTGCAATGGTTTGGCAGGAGAGCTGGAGCAAGAAATGAGGAATGGGAGTAGGGAGACAGGACTCAGCAGTCACCATGGCAGAGGTCTGGAACTCGATCCCCATGGTGAGTTCTCTGAACAGAATTCTTCCCTTTTTTCAGCCTCTTCAGTTCCCTGCCCAAAGGAATCTATAGAGTTATCTCACTCACCTGGCCAGGCCTCTTTCAAGCTCCAGGATCCCTATACATTCCCTCTCTGTACCTTCCCTTCATTTATCTACACCAGGCATATTCAGCAACTTTAAGCAGCTCTCATAAATCAGTCCCTCCAGCTATTTTATCATTCTTCTTGTTCTTCTTTAAGGAGCTAACAATCTGCTGCCTCTCAAGCTTAAGCCCACAATAAAACCAGCCTTCTTGGTACCACATTGCCCTAATCAGCCAGGGATAAGCTTCTGCTATGGGACGCTTCCAGGGGCACAGGTCACTCTCCCTCACAGCCTGCTTCTTTGTCTCATTCAGGCCCATTGCCAGATGACAACTGGCCTACTTTCTCCTGCTGCAAGTTTCCTTTGGTTCCTGTGACCTCCCGGAGCTGTCCTCTCATTGATTATCTGTGAACCTAATTGCATATTTCTCTGTAGAGGACGGCTTATCTTTTCCCTGGGTTGAAATCCTACCGGGTTATTTTTCTCATCTAATTTCTAGGGTAGCAGGTTGGTAGATGGTTGAAACAGTGTCTTAGGTCCCTGGGCATCGTTTTCTTTTTTTCTTATTCTGTCAACCTTTCTAGAGGTAGGGGGAAATCTCCAAAGTGAATGGGAATGTGGGAGCCCTTTCTCTGAATCTGAACTGTTCACCTCAAATAGCTGATCCACGCAAAAGCTTGTTTCTGCCTTCACAACATCTCTTCTAAGCCTCCGTCTCTCCATGCACACAGCTAGCCCCCTAGGTCAGGCCCTTATAACCCCTCACCTCGACGAGTGAGATGACTTTCTAGCTAGTCTACCTACCTCAAGCGTCTCTCCACTCCAATTCATCCTCCTCTCAGCTGCCAAAGTAATTTTCCCAAAATGTATGCCTAAATATGTCTCTTCCTGTATCTGTCTGTCTGTCTCTGTCTCTACCTGTCTGTCTGTCTGTCTGCCTTGATCCCTACTAGGACAGCACAGAAATTCCATCAGCATGTTGCTTAAGCACGCGTAAGGGCACTATTCTCCAAAGCAGGAGACATAAAGAGCCCTTAGAAGAACAGTTTTACTTGGCCCTAGAATATGTACAAACCCAAAACCCTGTTCCAAGTTATTCCTCTTTCATTATGGGCTGCCAGCCCCTAACTTTCTGTCAGATGCTTCCGTATCCAAGTCCATCTGAAAGAGTCTGAAGAGATTTCCTGAGCCCAAAGGCCAAATGTAATCTATCCGCTCTGCCCACTTCACTCTCTCATTTTAGAGTTCTGTCCCACAGACCATCAAGCTGGTGGGTCACTGTTGTCCTTTAGACAATTCAGTGGATGATAACTTTTCCGGTTTTATATTAGTACTTCCATAGTCTCCATCTCTTGGAAATGTACTTCATTCCTTTGGCTGGGGTTTTGCATAGAATCTGACAATCATTTTGGGGGATGCTTTTACTTTTTTTTTTTAAAAGAAATTCAAGATCTTTGTTTCGTGGGTTGTAAAAAAAAAGATGTGAATGGTTGAAATAGGAGATGGGCCTGCTCTGCAGCGAGAGCAAAGGATGGATAATCTGTGTGTTGTGCTGGTACCTGGGGAATGTCAAAAGACTCAAGGAAGGCTTCCAGCATAGCTGGTAATAACAGTGATAATAATCATTGGGGCCACTAGGTGGAGCAGTGGACATAGCGCTGGGCCTGGAGTCAGGAAAACTCCTCTTCCTGAGTTCAAAACTGGCCTCAGACGTGTACTAGCTGTGTGAGCACTGGCTCACACACTCTGGGCAAGTCATTGTACCCTGTTTGCCTCAGTTTCCCCTTTTGTAAAATGAAGTAGAGAAGGAAAAAGCAAAACACTCCAGTATCTCTGCTAAGAAAACCCCAAATGGAGTCACAGAGAGTTGGACACAACTGAAAAATGATTTAACAACAACGACATATTATAATAACAATAATAGCTAGCACTTGTATAGCATTTTATGTATGTTAGCTCATTTTATCCTCAACAATCCTATAAAAGTAAGCACTGTGATTACTCCCCTTTCACAGATGAAGAAACTGAGGCACAGAAAGGTTAGGTGATTTGCCCAGGGTCACACATCCAGTGTCTGAAGGAGGATTTGAACTCAGGCCTTTCTAACTCCAAGGAGAACACTCTATATCCACCAAGCTACCCTATTTCATTGTACAAACAGAGACATCATCAACTGCCATGCTCAGTGGGACCCGGGACATACTTAACCTAGTGACAGCTCATTGAAGGGGGGGAAGCATAAGCCCTTTGACCCATAAAGTGATTTTGCTGATGATGGTGTCATGTAGTACAAACACAACTCCGTCTGTGTCTCGGACCTCACACTATCGCTGTGAATAGATGCTGACCCCTCGTCCAACTCCTTGTTGTCTTTACTTGAATTTTATTCTTGTTTGCAGCTTTACAGAAAATGACACAAAAATCACAGATTCAGAATTACTAGCAGTTGGTACAGTTCCATATCTCAAACACTTCAATATCAACTTGTTTTCTCGCCATATGTACAGTATTTACATAGGGGGTGGGGGTGGGCTACAATCTAACGCAAACAGACAAAGACAAGGGGGGACAACAGGTGGAAAGGTGGGAGAGAAGAATAGATCAACATTTTGATACAGAGTAAAAATAGTACTCTAGAAAAGACACTCCAAGGACCCTTCTCTTAGGACCTTCTTTTTAGGGAGTGTTGATTAGAAGAAAGGGATGGGAGGAAAGAGGAGTTTCTCTTGTAGGGAGCTGGGCCCTTCTTGTCATGTTTTATCTGTGGTTTGGGGAGAGTTTAGCTAGAACAGAACTCTGCATGTGTGTAGATGTGTGGGTAGTTAGATGTGTTTTGGGGGTGGTGATATCAGCATGCCAAATTTGTTGTTAAGGCGAGGGCTGTATTAGTAGTTGAATAAAAGAAGCATGTACCAGAGCCCACCAGTGTTAGGAGCACCCCCTATCTTAATAAGTACAGGGGCAGAGATGCCCTACTAATTGATAGGTCCCACTAGCAGTGCCTTACTTTTTTTTTTGGTTATTCATATTTCTGATTTCATCTGGGTAAGGAATTTCCAGTGTGAAGATTCCCTCTACCAATATGGATTGGCAATTTAGATCTTAAGTCTTTAGAGATCTCTTTAATTTTTAGAAAATTTCCTGGGACACCAAGAAGTTAAGAGGCAAATTTGTCAAAGACAGAATTTGAACCCAGGTCTTCTTAACTCCATGGCCAGACATCTATCTGGCTCTCCAGTGTCTTTCTACAGCATAGTTAGAAAGTATGTGTATGGATGTATACTCCTATGCTTATATGTTTGTGGGATAGTAACTACATACGTGTGGGCTATACTAGTGTCTGGAGGTCAAGGTGAGAAGACTCACTTCAGAGTCAGCTGACACTGGTTTCCTGCCTTACTCTCTTCAGAGATCACTTCCATTCCCTGGTTGTGATTGACCCCTGGTGTATATTTTGTTGAGGCCAACTCCAATAGTCTTGTCTGACTCTGGTTTTGGGGGGATAATATAGACCACCCACCCATAAGGTGTATAGCTTCCTTGTCTTCCACTGGAATGATACAAATTAATTTAAAAATGCACAAACATTGCATGAATTGCATGATAAGTGAGTCTTCTGAAAAACAAAGACAAAAACCAAAAAACAGGTGTTAGGCACCTGAGAAGGCCAGGGTCTAGATGTGTCCCCACAGGGCAGAGAGCCACAGGCATTTGTGAGAGCTGAGGCTGGGAACAGTCATTCCCTCCACAACCCAAGTGGCAGGGTCTATACCTGGGTGCTCCAAATGAACCTAGTCAAAGTTGGATGCTAGCACTTGTGATAAACAGAATCAGGTGAGATGAAGGGGATGGGAGAAGGATGCATCTCAGATCCTCCAGGCAAGCAGCAACGGGCCCTGAAGGACTGGTAGAAGAGCATAGTAGGGTTCGAGCGTCCACAGTAGCGGCTGGGGCATGGACACTGCATGCCTGAAAAGGAATTTTGAGTGGGCAAAAGGGGACAGTGGTTAGGAAACAGGACCACATCTGGTACCAGTGACAGGTAGGTTTTGAGTAGGATTCAGTGTATCAGTAATGGGAAAAGTGTAAGTGAGAGCTTCAGGTCCCTAAATGATTAGGAAATGACTGGATCTCAGGTACTCAATGGCAGATCCTCTCCTGGGAGGGTGGAGATGGCTACAAAGTAAGGAAGACAGGTTGAGTGAGGTGGCAACTCCCTATCGTCTTGAGGGTATTGGAGGTGGGGTTTGTGTCTTCTGTCTCTTTGAAAGCAGTAAACCACACAGGTCTTCTGAAACGAGTAGGATGGATCTGAAAAGGGGCTGGGGGGGGGGATGCTTTGGAATCAAGACAACCAGAGTCAATGAAGAAGGGCTCTTGACGTGTTGCTAGAAATAGAGAGGCAAAGAGGTTTAGCAGGGATGGCTTAAGGGCAGTGAGGGAGTCTTTTGAGGGTAGGAGATACAAGATAGGAGAGAAATAAGTCAATATGTTCCAAAGCCTCTGTCCAAGACTAAGATAGTAACTGTTCAGTGCCACTTAGCAGGGGATACTGAGGGGCCTATGGAGTGCAGGGTGAGGTTGGGAAGAGTCTCTGGAGAAGCCACGTGGACCAGGCCCCTTTGCACTGCCCAGAGGCTTGGGGCCCTGCCTCCAGGGTACTCCTACCGACAAAACACCAAGGGCTGCTGCTTCCTGGGGAGGAGTCCTGCAGAGGCCCCATCAGGGGCTGCCCTGGACTTAAACCATCTTCTCATCTGGCTGCATCGGGTTGGGTCTCTCCGTTTGCCTCTCCTCTTCGATGGGCGCCTCTTCCTCCTCCTCCTCTACGGCCTCCTCTTGCTTCTCTGCTTTCCGAGCCAAGGCTTCCCCCCCAGATATGGTCCCCAGCACTTTGGTGCTATGTTCCTGAGCTTTGGCCCTGAGGGCGGCAATGCTGTTTTCCCTCAGCTCCTCTTGAGAGATGGTGGCTGCCTGGGGGTCAGGGCCCTGCTCTTCCTTCTCACTCTTGTCAAGCTTGGGCAAGGCCTGACGCTCCACCTCGGGCTTCCTCCCGGTCTCCACAGCTGCCTCCAGAGACTTTTTGTGCATCCCTAAAAAGAATTGTTGGTATTCGGGTTTAGAAAAGCGCCTGGCCATGGGAAAGCCATCTTGAACTGAAAACAGCAAAGATAAAAGAGAGGCCAGAATTAAAGGATGAGCAGAAAGCCTTGCTTCTCACAGAAGTCACCCCAAGGCCTAAGGGCTGTGGGCATTAGGGAAAGGGATGAAAAAATAAAGCTACAGAAGTGAAACCTAGAGCCAGGGAGCAGAAGAGATCAAGGATAAAGCTTCAGGGCACTCAGGGTAGAGGACCCAGCCTGAGGTGGTGGCTGGGGGCCTATTTATTCAGAGCATCTGTCAGCATTCAATGAACGTTTATTAAACTCTTTCTGTATGCCAGGCCTGGGGAGTGGGGTAAAAGCTGGGGATGCAAAGAAAGGCAAAAATATAGCCTCCGCCCTCAAGGTGCTCTTGTTGGAAATTCACCCAGAAAGTACGGAAAAGAATGAGATTTGTGGAGGGGAGAGAGGAAAAGAAGTCCATCAGCCTTTAGAGTAGGGGTTCCCAAAGTGGGGTCTGTAAGGTTTAAAAATATATATAAACTTTAAAAATGTATAAATGTATTTAAATATAACTGGTTTCCTTTGTAATTAATTCCATGTGTTTATTTATGCATTTGAAAATATAATTCTGAGAAGGGGTCCACAGGTTTCACTGGACTGCCAAAGGGGGCTTGACACATATGGAGTGTGATTAAACCCCTGTTTTAAAGGGTTTCTGGGGACCCAGGAGGCAGATCAAAGGGATTTTGATTCACCTCAGGCCCCCGATCTAGACTGTCTCATTTATGAGCTCCAAAGCTTGGGGCAGAGAGAAGAAATGAAAAAATCCTAGCACAATGGGAAAAACTGTACCCCCCATACTTATTGAAGTGGGGAAGGGCTCCTCATAGGAGTCATTGAAACAGATGAGTTATTAGATATGAAGGCATAGCTCCTCAGTAGAAGAGGATGAGGTTAGGTAACAGTAAATGTAACAGGCTCTCAAAGATACTTATTATCTGAGCTCCCACATCTAGACAGCAATATACATTTTCTAGGATTCTGAGCTCTGGGCAGAGATGCTTTCTCTAAGGGCAGGGCATGGGAAAGATGGGATGGCAGGTCCCCTAATAGGGTCTCCGGGGCAGGATTTTGTTTATGGAATAGAAATACTTCATTTTCAGAATTTCAGGTCTCTTTTTCAGTCACTTCCTTCTCCTCCCCGTCCCCTCATCCCTTCCAGTTGGAAGTCATCCATCTTCCCAAGGCTTTTCTCTTTTTGGAATTAGTACAGTAAGGTCCAGAGCTCTGACTTCCTAGCCCAAGGACAGTTGCTTCCCTAAAGGGCCCTAGTGCCCTGCTAAAGGTACTGGTATCTTACCAAGTAGCCATGGGGCACAGGACTCCATGATGCCATCCTTGGCAGATTTGAGGATGGACTCTGGCAGTGGAATAGAGTGGCGAACCATAGCTCCATACAAGCCATATTCTGCCATAACACTGCTCCTCCCCCAGCACTTCTCCCGTTTCCTCCATTTGGCTCGGCGGTTTTGGAACCAGACCTAGGAGGAGGAAAGCACAGAGTGGTGCAGTACAGTGAAGAGGATGCTGGATAGTCACAGGGCTAATATGTTCCAGGTCCCTACTTAGACACTTATTAGCTATGTGACCATAAGCAACTCACTTGACTCTCTGGGTCTCACTTTCCTGTCTGTAAAATAAGGGATTTGGACCAGATGACCTCTGAGACTCCCAGTTCTAAATCTGTGATCCCATGATCTAAGTCACACGTATTAAAAGTAAAGCTCAAAGCCTCCTGTAAACACTAACTTGCATTAAAAACAAAACAAAGCAAAACACAATTAGGTCCCAACTCTGTCCATCACAGAATTCAATGTTTCCCAGGCTGGTGGTGGATATGGTGATTATCCACACAGGTTATCCAGAGCCATTAAGCCCCTAAGCTGAAGTCCACGACTTCTTGTTTCTCAACAGTAACAGACCTCTATAACAAGGAAATAGTTGGAAAGTATTTGGAATCAGAAAATATGGTTTTGAAGTCTTGCTCTCCAGTTTACTAATGGGGTAGCATTGGCCTTTATTTTCTTTGTGCCTCGGTTTCTGCATCTGCAAAATGGGGATCATAATAACTATTACCCACCTCACTGGGCTGAAGATAATAATGTGTTAATAAGTGACATAATGCATGCAAAGCCGAATGTAAATGGCAGCTATGATCATCACTATCCCCAGCCCATCCCTACCTCCCCCAGTCTCTGAATCACTGGTACAGTTGATCTTACTGAGTAGGCAAATCATAGAATTACAGCAAGGTTAGGGATCCAGGTAGTAAGCAACAGAGATGATTTGAACTCTCTATTTCCAGATCTGTGCACTTTCCACTGAAATCTAAAAAGGCGAAAGTGGAGAACTAGGAGGGGAAAACAGGATCAGACAGAAGGTGATATTCAGACCTTGGGGCCACCCAAGACTGTTACCACCTCATTAAGAAAGAAAGCTTTTCTTAAATCTGTCAGGCATCTAGGTGATCAAGCAGAGAGAGCCAAAGGCCTGAAGTCAAGAAGACCTGAGGTCATAATCCTCCCTCAGTGACTAGTCTGCTTCGGTTCCCTCCTCGGTAAAATGGAAATAATAGTCGCACCTACTTCCCAGGGCCGTGAGGATAAAATGAGATCATATTTGTAAGATGCTTCGAAATCCTTAAATTAGCTGTATATAAATGCTGGTTGTTATTATCCTTATCATTGGCCTGAGAGTGAATGCAGGTCCCGTCATTCCCACTTTTACATGGCCTCTCAATCTTATCTCCCTCAACTAAAGAGATCTTAGACTTTACATAGGAGTAAGGGGTAGATAGGAGTTTACAGCTGAGATTCTTTGAGGAGCCCCAGGGATCCCAGCCTAAAGAGAGATGAGTGATTGTTGGGCCTTAGGGTAACCACAGGATAGCGTTTAGGAGAGAAGAAAGAACCCTGCCCTGCAGTCATGCTGAAAAGATTAAGGCCTAGGTAGAGGCGCGTTGCAGAGAAGGCGGAAGGCGCCCGTTTCTCTTTTGGACGCAGGCAAGAAAAGACCCTCATCTCTTCAGGAAATTGGAGGCTGCATCTCTCCGCTTTGACTCTCGGGGGGCAGCGAGTACCGAACCAGAGAAGGGAAAGGATAGGGATACGGGTGAGGATGCGGATGGAGATGGAAATGAGGGTTGGGGGAAGGGACAAGGAGGGGGGTAGAGATCGGCTGGGGAAAATCTATTAGTTTTCTCTCTCTGATTTCCATTCTTCTGCTGTCGCCTCTCTCTCTCCCGCCCTCCATCCATCCTCCCCTCCCACCTCTCCCCCTCCCGCTCCACGGCCCCCGCCTCCTCCCCGCACCAGCCTTTCCCTTGCCCGTGGAGGTATCAGCTTTTGATGAAAAATTGCTCGAGCTCTATTCAGGAGGCGGCAAAAGAAGAGTCACCCCCAGGGGCAGCCCTGGGCTGATTGAAAAATAAGTTAATTTCAGTTTGAATCGATGGGCCTCAGGCACTGAAATATCACGGGAAATTAAAGCGGTGGCTCTCCCGGGAGCCTCACCATTGACCCGCACTAATTAATGCCGGGGAGTTAGCGCACGCTTCTCCGGGAGCCGAGCTTCCCCCTTCCCCGGGGACCCCCAAACACTTCTCATTTAACTAATTAGACGGGGAAAATTGGGTGTTAATTTGTTTAGGACTTTTTTTTCCCTCTTCGCCCCCCCCCCACCAGTAGCGTCCCCCGCCTCCTCGTCCCTTCCCGGGGAGGTGCGGGCAGGGCTAGAGATGAATGCATGGGGTTCGCTGGCAGATGGATGCCCGGGTCACTCTGCAATCTTCTCCGAGTTGATTGCTTGATTAGGTCGTTAGCACATTAAAAAAAAAATTGCTTGCCGTCTGGTGCTGGCGTGATGAGTGGGACGCGGCGGCAGCGCCTGGGTAATTTATCTTTTTATACGGCAAAGAATTTGATTTCCATCTGCAGATATATGGAGGCGTCTTTGACACCTGTTTAACACCGCCGGAGCTGACAGTTTAACTCTTTGCAGTCACCCTGGACGGGGTGGGGTGGGGTGGGGGAGACAGAAGGAGGAAGAAAGGCAGCTGCAGCACCCACCCACCAGGCCCAGGCCCTGGGGCAGGTATGCATGCAAACACTGGGTTTCCTCCCCGCCCCCGCGGCCACCCCTACTGCGCTCCTAGGAATGCGGAGCCTACCTAGAGTAAGCCAGTAAAGGGCTCTGCCCCCACTGAGCACCGCGGGGAACGCGAGTGGCTTGTGGACGCCGCTGGTGCAATCAGCACGCATACTCCATTTCCTGCTAACGCCAGCAGGTGGAGGAGTAAGACCGCCGACAGCTCCAGGCATCTGGCCCCCCGAGACGGAGGGATGAATGGAAGGATGCTTTTGGCTATTCCCGGGTAGTCTGGAGGGGATGAGGATCGCGGAGGAAAGAAAATTTCTGCCCTTCCTTGATTTTTCATCCCCCAGATGCAGAGAGAGGTGCCCCTGGCTAGGGTTCACAAAAGTCAATCCTGTTTCCTTGAAGGGCCAAGCTAATGCTTGCCTGAGACTGCCTGCAGACACATCGTAGGCTTAAAAAGGAGCGGATAAAGCCTTGGCCACGACCTGGGTTTGCATTCCAGCGGGTGACTGCACCCCACTGGGTGGTCCATCTCCCCTCCAGGGTGGGGAGTTTATTCAGTCGGACAGCCGCTGTGTGCCTCCCCACACCTCTCCAGGTATCTCAGACTACCAGTAAAGTGAAATCACAGGATCCCAGATATTTACCTGGAAAGGATTGAAAAGAACATCCAGTCCAAATCCATCACTTTACAGTTGAGGAAACTGAGGCTTAATGAAGTAAAGTGACTTGATCACCCAGGTAGTAAATATTAGAAATGGGATGTGAACTCCCTGCTCGCTGAACTCTAAATACAGGACTCTTTCCAATACACCTAGCTGCTACATCAATTTACTTCTGAGTAAATTAAGCTTCTGAGTCCCCAGGGGCTCCCCGGGTTGTGCTCTTATCCAGCTCCTTCTTGCTCTGTGAGGTGGACTAGGAAAGGGTTAAGCACCAAGATATTAAATAATTGCCAGAGGTGCCTCCCTGGGCGCCCCGACTTCAGCTTCTTTGTGGGCCTGACATCCCTTTATCTCCCAGCCTCCTCACTTTCTGCCCTATATTTCCACTACTTGGTTCCACAACAGGATACTCAATACCGAAAAATAGGGAGTTATCCTTTGAAACCCAGCACAGCTTCACACCCACCACCTCTGGCAGTCTCTTGATAAGCACCAATGAGAATGAACTAGATATACCTTATAAAAATCCAAATGTTCTACCCATCTAGACCTGGGGGCCCTTCCAGGCCTGACTTTGACCAGTATATCTTGAATAAGCCACTATATCATGATCTTCTAGGGATCCCATAAAGAGATTTCAGGGAGTCTGGATATTTGGGGAAATGTGTGTGTGTGTGTGTGTGTGTGTTTGTGTTTGTGTATACACATTAATTTCAAACCGAATAGCATTCCCTTCAATTATTTTAAAACATTATTCTAAGAAGGGGTGTATGGGCCAAAGGGGTCTTCATGAACCCCTCTATTAGATGAAGGCCAGGCCATTTCTGGGTTTGTAAATAGAAATGTATTTTCAGTGCACCCACATGTCATCTTTCTTTGACTCTCCCCCCATTTTTATGTGACCTATCCACAGCTTAAAGATATCCAATATTCTTATCTCCTCTGTTTGCTCCCTGCCCCCATAAAAACCAATGTATGTTAAGATAGCGGGTGGGGCATGATGGAAAGAGCATTGGACTGGAAGACAGAAAGACCTGGCTTTCATTCACAACTCTGACGCTACCTGTGTGTGAGCAAATCATTTCATTTCTCTGAGTCTCAGTATCCTCATATGTAAAACAGTAATAATAGTTCTACTGGGAAGTAGTCTAGTTTAGTAGACAGGATGGTAAATTTGGAGTAAGGAAAATCTGGGTTCATACCCTGTTTTTGATCACACATTTTATCTGTGTGACCAGAGGTAAATTATTTAACATCCCTGAGCCTCACAGAACTCTCTAAGACTCTAAGTGGTCAATTAGTCATGATCTGCTTCAGTGCAGGAAGTTTCCACACCAAGAAAATCACAGGTCTCTGAGATATTGACCTAAAACACTGTCTACCTCACTGGGTTAGAGGGAAGAAAACACTGTAAAAAGTAAAGCATTGGGGCAGCTAGGTGGCACAGTAGATAGAGCACCTGCCCTGGAGTCAGGAGGACCTGAGTTCAAATCTGGTTTCACACACTTGACACTTACTAGCTCTGTGACCCTAGACAAGTCACTTAACCCCATTGCCTAGCCAAAAAAAAAAAGAGTAAGACATTAAGTAAATGAAAGCTATTAAGGAGTGACTGACTTGGTATGTGAGAACTCTTTAGTGGAGGGACCCCACTTCTGAGCCCCTCACATTACACCACATAGGCAGCAGATGTGAGAGTCCTCATGCTAGAGAGGGCAGAA